TTTTTGTTGGGTAATTGGAGACAAGGGTCTCATAGTCTTTCCTGCCCTTGTGAGTTTGAACTGTGGTCCTCAGATCTCATCTTCATGAATAGCTGGGATTACAAGCATGAGCCACCAGTGTCCAGGTTTCACTAGGTCTTAAGCACTTCAAATATTGACAACTATTAATACTTCAACAACCTTTGAATTTATACTTTTACGTGGTGTTAGGTGGGACGCTAAAAGTTGTAACTTTGATGATTCTGAAATGTCCTGCCTATCTAGCATCCTCTCTTCCAAGTTACCAGCTTCCCATTGGCCCAGTGATCTGGATGGTACAGCAAGAGTTGGTTGTTGCATGTACAGCCTTGTCTGTCCTTGCCCAGCAGGTATCAGTAGGCCAGAGGGATTGCCACTTCAGTAATAATATATCATAAGCTCAAGAGCAAGAGACTCTAGACGAAAAGAAAATGTCTTATTTTCCGCTTGTGAGCCATCTTTCCATTTTGTCCTGGATTCTACAATTAATGTAGCTTGACTCTGTGCTCAGATTTGCAGTGCCTGCTTTTGTTGTAGTTCCTGTTGCTAACTGTTCCATGCCAATTACAATTACTGCTCCTTTGAAAAGCAAAACTATAGATAGAAATTCTTTCTTTAATTGTTTATCTAGGCTTGAATTCAGGTCCTTGTGCATGCTCAGCTTGCTTGCTAGGCTGGTGCTCTACCACTTGGGTCATGCCTGTAGCTTGGGTTTTCGCTAGTTATATTGGAAATGGAGTCTTGTAGACGTTTCTGTTTAGGCTGGCTTTGTACCATAATGTTCTGCATCTCAGCCTCCTGAGAAGCTAGAATTATAAGGATGAGCCACCAGTGCCCACCAAGGCAGTTTGATGGACAAACTTGTTGAAAGATGTGATTCATGGGGAATGCATTAAACTGGATACATGGATAATTCAATAGAGAGGGTCTTTTGTGTAGACAATGTCTGGAAATTTCTGAAACTGACTCTGGTGTGTTCTAAAACAATGATATTAGGCAGGTTACAGGATAACTGTTAGAGGGAGAAGATTGAAATGGGTTGTTTTTGGTTTTGTTTTTAGTGGTTGGTTTTATGTAACATACCCAATTAACATGCTGAAATTTTCACTGGTTTTGATCAATATATGACATCTTGTAAGTGCAGCAGTGTTACTAAAGAAAATGCTCTGTTGTGCAGGAACTCAGTTGCAAGAAACAGAGAAGCCACATTTTGAGAGGTCAAATTGGGAATCTTCATTAGAAAACTGGCAATTGCAGGTGAACTCTTGTCACAAAGACCTGCATTCCCTTGAAGACACTTAACACTGCTAGAAAACTGAGCCATGACAGTAGTGAAGCAAAGGAAGAGTAGAAAAACAATACCAACAAACTAGATCAAGTCCAATGGAGAGATGAAGTGAGACACCATGGTGACCATAGGAAAGCCAGGAGACACAAGACACAGGAATACAAGCCATGGCATAATGGTGCCCAAGTTGGTCTGGGCCTAAATAGGCTCAGGTCAGGGGGCAGGGTTATAGGGAGTTTGTGAGTTTATGACCCAAGACTGGCAGGTCCAGTAACCTATTGTTCAAGTCCCCTCTCCTGCCTCTAGGAATTTTGGTATGCCCATCACCTGGGAGGAGTGACTTTCCTGCTTCCACCATGAAGTCAAAATGGCACCAGTTAAACATAATTATCTATCCACAATGTGGCCAAGATGGCACTGGTTAGATTCAGTATCCTTATTTCAGTTCTTATTTGGTGATGGCTGTCATGTTATATGTGTACAGAGTTATAGGCCATTGTTTAAAGTATGATCAGTGACAGAGAAAATAAAATGCAAGTGAAGAGTTACTATTAACAATACCCAGATGCCCCTCAGTAGATGAATGGATCAAGAAAATATTATATATATATATATATATATATATATATATATATATATATATATATATATATGAATTCTATGCCTCCATTAGAAAGAATGACACTGCCCCATTGGTTAAGACATGGAAAGACTTGAAAAAAAATTATATTAAGTGAGGTAACACAGACCCAAAGAAATATAGATTCCCATGGTTTCCCTTATTTGCAATAGCTAGTATACATCTAGGATAATCTTACCACATAAGCAGAAAAGGTAAAAAAAACTATGTACATATGACCATATAAGATGCTGCTAAGTGAAATGAGCCCAAAGATATTAACACAAGAGATTTTTATCTTTGTAGCTGTTGTTTTTAATGTACTATGTGATTTAAAAATATTTCTTTCGTATGTTCTTCTCCCATGGTGTAACCCTTGTTTTCACTGTATCTGATTCCAATGCCCTGCATCTTGTATGTATGCTTTTTCTAATTTGGGGAGGGAAAGGGAAATAACAAAATGCTGAAACAAGGATACAGGTTGACCCATTGTAACAATATGTACAAGACACTATGTTGGAAACGAACTTTACAACTTAGGGTAGGGAAGGAAGAGTTGGGGAGGTGGAGAGGGAAGAGATGGTAGGGGAAAAACAAAGGAGGGGGTAACAATGCTCCATAGGAAATGTACTCATTACCTTAATCATGTAACTATAACCCCTCTGTACAGTATCTTTACAATAAAAATATATTTATAAAAAACAAAACAAAAACAAAAACATTGGGGCACCGGTGCTTCATGCTTTTAATCCTAGCTACTCAGAAGGCTGAGATCTGAGATCTGAGTTCAAAGCCACATGGCAGGAATTACCAGAAAACTGGTAGAGGCTGGGTGGCTCAAAGTGGTAGAGTGCTAGCATGGAGCAGAAAAGCTTAGGGCCAGGCTGAGTTCAAGCCTCATGACCAGAAGGAAAAAGAAAAGTAACAAAACCTTGAAGTGAACGAATTCAGGAAGATACACTGCCATGCTGTTCTCCTTGTGTTGTGGCCGTCTGGTAATACCCGTGAGGTGTGAGTACAGGTGGATCAAATCTAGCTTGTTTCTGCCTCCTAGACAGAACTTGAGAGTTACTTCCCATTCACCACTACAATACTTGTCAGTTTAAAAGTTTTAAGATCCCCAAGGATTAAAGACATAAACATAAATAAATTTGGATCATTTCCCCTGTGCTGAGAGTCCTATCTGGACCCTACCAGCACTAATCCTTTCTCTGACATGGAGAAAGAAAAGCTAAATATTAAGGAGAGAGCTTCTGAGTTTAATCTACTTGATATTTCATTAAAAATGAATCTTGGGGTGATTAGAATTTTTATCTTCTGTTTGTCTTCTGGTTACCACTAAATACTTGGAGAGTGGTGAGCATTTAGAAATGTGAGAGATACTGGATTGCTTTATGCAAACCTCACAGCTAGCTGTGATTAGAATGATCTATATTTTTTGTTCTTTGACAGAGTCTATCTAGAAAAATCTTATGAAGTACACTTTTTTGGGCATTTCGGTAGTTAAATGAGACTAACCAGCTGAGCTCTAGGGCCTAATATCTATAATCCTAGCTACTCTTGAGATCTGAGGATCAAGGTTCTAAGCTAGCCTGAGTAGAAAAATCTATGTATCCTCATCTCTCCAATTGACCATCAAAATGCTGGAAGTAGAGCTCTGCCTCAAGTGGAAGAGTTCCAGCTTTAAGCAAAAAGCTAAGGAACAGTTTCCAGGACCCAACATCAAGCTCCAAGACTTGCACATGCAAAAATAAAAATTAAGCTGACCATGAAAAGTTCATTTCACAGGAACATGGTAATCTCAGGGCATAGCTTTGAGGGATTTTTCCACCAATTTTCCTAACTCTCCTGTTCTTGGTCTCGAGTTGTTTTCTCAAAGGCTTCTATTTGAGATTCTTAAGAAAGTAATTTTAGAAAAGAAAAAAAAGGAAACAAAAACCTTGCTGTCTTTAAGTCATTGGAAAAGACTGGGTGATGACTGATGTGTCTGGTGGGCTTGACTGAAGCCTTTCGAGTTGGTGGGCTGTGAATGCCCCGGCCATCTGTCATGGAGTATGGCATACTGCAGCTCTTATCCCCTGTGGTTCCTAATAGACACAATCCATTTTTAATGCCTTGTGTCAGGTGTCCCTACTGCCCTCTAACCATTCCTAATAATCAGACAAAAGTGATATTTTAGGGTAACAGTTAATAAATAATGTGACTTATCCAATCACACCTTTCACTAAAATATTATTATCTTTTGGCAGATTCATTACTGTAGAGACATCAGGATCTGATGAAACATTCTCTAATTCTACCACTAGTACATTTTCCAGAGTTGTCTTTCTTTTAATTTAATTCTCTCTCTCTGAAAGCATACTGTCCATTGCAATTACCGAATGAGCATTTAATCTCATATTACTAAGGAATTTTAATCTTTGCCTATGGAAAGATGATTAAAAGGTCTTAAAGTTGCAATGATATGGATACATCTTATCCCAACCTGATGAAGCAAAGTTTCCTTTGTTCTTCTAAGTGTTAATAAAGGCAAACTAGTTTCCCCAAGCTCTTTACTGCAGTGATATAGAGCCTTACCACATAGAATGATAAATGTTTTGAAACACCATCCATTGAATAGAAAGGTCTGTAGCTCTTCCTTAGGCAGAGGTAGTCTGAAGGTAGAAAATCACAGCAGAAGTTTACAAATGCTGTTATAGTAGTTTGCTTTACATTATATTTCTCTGAAAGCAATAAAACTTGGTACTTATTTGGGGTGTGTGTGTGTGTGTGTGTGTGTGTGTGTGTGTGCCACTCCTGGGGCTTGAACTCAAGGCCTAGGCTCTGTCTGTGAGCTTTCCTGCTTAAGGCTAAAGGTCTATCATTTGAGCCACAGCTCCATTTCTAGCTTTTTGTGTAGCTAATTGTAGATAAGAATCTCATGGGTTTTCCTTGCTGGGCTGGCTTTGAACTGTGACTCTCTGATCTCAGCCTCCTAAGTAGCTGGAATTACAGGGGTAAGTTGCCCATGTGTGGCTTAATCTTTGAAGTTTTTCTCAGTTTTTGTTTTTTTCTTAACTATATTCTTTGTATCTCTGGTACTGGGGATCAAACCCAGGACCTTGCACTTGCTAAGAAAGTGCTTTGCTATGGAGCTACATCCCAGCCAATTCTTTGTACTTTGTATTACATTCTTTTTTATATTGGAGGAGGTGCATAGAATATCAAAAACTGATCATATTTTTTCATGCATTTTTAATTTTAATTTTTTTGGCATGGGGCTTAAACTCCAGGCCTGGGGACTGTCCCTGAGCAATACTTGTTCAAGTTTACCACTCACACTTTGGGTCACAGGGACACTTCTGATTTTCTGGTGGTTAACTGGAGATAAAGTGTCTCATGGACTTTCCTGCCTGGGTTGGCTTAGAACAGTGATCCTCAGAACTCAACTTCCTGAGTAGATAGGATTATAGGTGTGAGGCACAGTGCTAGGTTTTTTATTGTTATTATAAAGGTGATGTACAGAGTGGTTAAAGTTATATAAGTCAGGTGAACAGTACATTTCTTTTTTAAACAATGTAACCCCTTCCTTCTCTCTTTCCCAGTTTCTCCGTCTATCCCCACCCACAAGGTACATCGTTTCATTTTCAACTTAGTGTCTAGTGAGTACAATTTGTTGCATCTGTTCACTCTTTGGTCCACTATTTCTGTGTCCCCTTTAACACACCTAAGACAGATAAATGGACAAAAAAGACAAAAGGAAAAGAGAATGACAAAGAAAGCAACAAAGGAAAAAAAAACCTCTTGTTTCTGTTTCCTGGAGTTCATTTTTCTAAATATTATTTTATATGGTAAGGTGCACAGAGGTATTACACCTTTGTGTTCCTCTCCTAAGAATACCCTCCTTTGGTCTCATTGTGTGTGACTGCCTAGAGACCTGTATAATTTACATGTCCCAGTGCTGTTGTTGTTGTTTAACCATTCATTGTGTTTATTTGTAGATTCAGAAGCACATTCTAGCTACCACAAACAAGAGAAACCACATAAGTTAGGTTTCTCTGGGTCTGGCTTACTTCTTTGCACTTTTTAAAAGCTGTAAAAATGATTGAGGATTTTCTTTTGAACTATAATAGTTCATTTCAGTACATTACATAGATTATTTCAGTTAACATATTAATATTACACTATTGTAAAATAAAGACGGCATATGAATCTTTAAATTTTTCCAGGGCTCAATACGTTACCCTGAGTTTTAACATCAATTCACTGTCCCATTTTCCTGGAGCACAGCATGTCTTGTTAAAATAATTGTATACCTTAAATATTTCTAGTGCACAAAACCTTAGTCTGTTATCAGTGCCAGAAAAAAACACATGCATTTAAATCTATGGTATGTTGTTTATCTAAGAAGGTAATTTTCCTGGATTATTTTGCCTAGCTTCCAACTGTTGTCCTGGGTATGTTTACAACTGCACTGGTAGGCTGGTTTCTTAGAATGTTAGAAAGATGTCACTCTACATTATCATGTTCATGATATGGAGGACTTGGTAAAGAAGTTTTATACCCAGTCTCTTCAAACTCTGCTGGCAAGACACCCCTGACTTTCATGACATAATTCTGTTCTGACTCCTGGTGCTGTAAACAGGCCACAGACTTATAAATTCCCATTGAGCAACCAGACAATTGCATTGTTTTGGATAATGCATTTCTTTCTCTAGAAATCTCCTCAAATTTCAAGCAAACTGGTAAAATAGTTCCTTCCTTCTGTTAATCGATGTGGGATTATATTTGTGAAATAAATAGAATATCCCCATTTCTCAACTGCAAACAATTGAAATGTCATTTTAATAGTTATATTTGAACTTGGTGAAGATACATTTTAGAACAGAGTTTGCTTACTTTCATTTTCCTGCAGGACTTCTTTGCCATGGCTTCTTAGGAAAACACTTTAAAGATTACATAGAAGTGTATTAAGCAGATGGTTTGGTAATCACACAAAACCAGCACAAGAAATTATGTACAGATCTTTCACTAGTTTTTAGACAATGATGATAGAATCAGAAATTCACAGAAAGAATATCTAAGAACTTCTAACCATCCACAGATGAATAAGGAAATAGATATATTTTGTTTGCATGTTTTTTTCTTTATTAGCCAGATCTGTTTTGATTATTTGGGCTGACATGTTGACAGATCCATGCAGTCCTTGATTACATAGGTAAAAGAATATACATTAAGCTGAATAGAGAAATGATAGCAACGTAGGCTAAGTTTAGCTTCTTATTCAAATGTACAATTCAATATTTCTCCCTCTGAATGAGATCAGTGAGTGAGTGTGTGTGTGTGTGTGTGTGTGTGTGTGTGTGTGTGTGTGTGTGTGTGTTGAGAATAGGGATCTGATAAATTGGTATGGTTTTTAGGAGGAGACACTTGGGAAAGCAAGTATTAAAGCTTTGTTTCCAAAGTGGTGAACAGCTCAGTATTTCTAACAGAAATAAATTCAACAATGGAGTTTGGGGCATTTCTATATTTGTAATTTGGATTTTCTAGTTGAAGAATCACTATTATATACTATACTCACCTAACAAAGAAAGCCATAATAATTTCAATATGGCCTTATGAGTCTCTTGTGATTTTCATAGAGTTTTACTTGGGCAAAAATAGGACTGGACCTTAAAAAAAAAACAAAAAAAACAAGATTCCTCTAATTACAGAAGATTCCTCTAAGGATAAATAGAACTGAATTGGGATAGAACTACTCACTTGAGGTTCTGGTTTTGGCTTTTGGAATATAAATTCTTGTTTCATGAAATTCTTGGCAAAAGTAAAGAAAACAACAAAGTAAGGTATACTTGGTAGAGTATATTTAAATTTTTTCCTTTTGTAGGATATGATTGCTGGTAAATATAGTTTTAATTCTGTGATCTCAGTTTATCTTCCACAAAAAGACAATTCAATTAAAATTTGTACAATAATTAAAAAAAAAGAGTTCTGGTGTTAATGTAACCTGAATTCAATTCTTAGCTTGGAATTAAGTTTTATTGTTAATGTTTTATTTGGCTGTGTGAGTCTTGCTATGTAGCAAGGGTAGCCTCAAACTCAAGATTCTCCTGCCTCAGTTTCCTGAGAAACTGAGATTACAAACATGGGAACACTATACTAGGCTCTTCAACTTTGTAATTTGTATTTACTGGACTTCAGTAAATGTGATTTTTTTTCCCACTTCCTCAGTTTTATCATGAAGACTAAAGATCATGTGAGTCTCTCTCCACTTCTCTTCAATCTAGTATTAGAATGCCTAGCTACAGCAATAAGACAAGATGCAGACATAAAGGGGATCCAAATAGGGAAAGAAGAAATAAAACTCTCCCTCTTTGCAGATGACATGATCTTGTATTTAAAGAATCCCATAGACTCCACTCCCAAATTACTCAAGCTGATTCAAAACTTTGGCAAAGTAGCAGGTTATAAAATTAACCCCCCAAAATCAATGGCTTTTCTGTATGCCAACAATGAGAAAAGTGTGGCTGAAATTAGGAAAGCAACTCCATTTGTAATAGCCCCACAAAAAATAAAATACCTAGGAATTAACTTAACTAAAGAAGTGAAGGACCTCTATGATGAAAACTTTAAAATCTTGAAAAAGGAAATCAACACAGAACTTAAAAAATGGCAAAACCTCCTATGCTCCTGGATTGGAAAGATTAACATCGTGAAAATGGCAATACTTCCCAAGGCTATCTACAAATTCAACACAATACCTATCAAAATTCCACCCTCATTCTTCAAGGAAATAGAAGAGGCAATCCAAAAATTCATATGGAACAATAAAAGACCCCGAATAGCAAAAACGCTCCTCAACGGAAAGAACACGGCTGGAGGAATATCAATACCAAATTTCAAACTCTACTATAAAGCCATAGTAATCAAAACAGCTTGGTATTGGCATAAGAACAGACCTCAGGACCAATGGAATAGAATTGAAAACCCAGAAATGAACCTACAGACCTATAGCCATCTAATCTTCGATAAGGGAGCTAAAACAATAGAATGGAAGACAGACAGCCTCTTCAGTAAATGGTGCTGGCAAAACTGGTTAACTACATGTAGAAAACTAAAGCTAGATCCTTATATATCACCCTGCACCAGAATCAACTCCAAATGGATCAAAGACCTTGAACTCAAAGCAGACACTCTGAAAACATTACAGGATGGAATAGGAGAAACCCTGGGTCTCCTTGGCTCAGGCCAAAATTTTCTGAATAGAGACCCGGAAACACAACAAATCAAAGAAAGGTTGGACAAATGGGATTGTATAAGGTTGCAGAGCTTCTGCAGGGCAGATGACATAGCTAGCAAGATCAATAGAAAGCCCACGGACTGGGAGAAGATCTTTACTAGCCATACAACGGACAAGGGTCTCATATCTAAAATATACTTGGAACTCAAAAAATTAAACCACCCAACAACAAATCCTCAAAGAAACAACTGCCCAATAAGTAAGTGGGCGAAAGACTTAAAGAGAAGCTTCTCTGAAGAAGAAAGAAGGATGGCCAATAGACACATGAAGAAATGTTCAACATCCCTAGCCATAAAAGAAATGCAAATCAAAACAACATTGAGATATCACCTCACTCCAGTTAGAACAGCAAAAATCAAGAACTCTAACAACAACAGATGCTGGAGGGGATGTGGACAGAAAGGAACCTTACTTCATTGTTGGTGGGAGTGTAAACTTGTTCAACCACTTTGGAAAGCAGTATGGAGGTTCCTCAAAAGACTTCACATAGAACTCCCCTATGACCCACCAATCCCACTTTTGGGCATTTACCCTAATGTTTACAAAAAAGACCACACTAAAGCTACCAGCACAACTATGTTTATTGCAGCATTATTTACCATAGCTAAGATATGGAACCAACCCAGATGCCCCTCAATAGATGAATGGATCAAGAAAATGTGGTATATATACACAATGGAATTCTATGCCTCCATCAGAAAGAATGACATTGCCCCATTTGTTAGGAAATGGAAAGGCTTGGAAAAAATTATATTAAGTGAAGTAAGCCAGGCCCAAAGAAACATAGGTCCCATGGTTTCCCTTATTTGCAATATCTAGTATAGGTATGAGTCAAGCGAAAAAAGTCAGAGAATGTGATGTTAGGAAAACAAACCCTCAAATATGTATTTTAATGTTTTTGTTTCTTTCATGCATGTGTTTCTAACGCATTTATAAGATTATTTCTTGGTTGCTTTGTATGTCCCTCCCCCACAGTGTAACCCCTGCTTTCACTATATTTGATGTCAGTATAACATGTGGAGGAGATGGGGACAAACAAGTCATTTAAGGATTCAGGTGGACCTGTTGCAACAATGAGAAGTACAAAATGTCATGTCAAAACCAGCTTTACAATGTCGGAGGGGGGGAGGGGGGGTATGATTGGGTGGGGGGGGGAGGGGGGAGGCTGGGAAGGGAGGTGAAGGGTAAACAAAGGAGGAGGCTGCAATGCTTGGTAAGAAATGTATGCATTATCCTGACCATGTAATTGTAACCCCTCTGTACAGTATGTTCTCAAATAAAATAAAATAAAATTAAAAAAAAAAAAAAGATCATGTGAGTTCTTAGCATAGAATCTATACTATAACACTAAAAACATATAGTTTCAAAATATAGTAAAAATATAAAATACTTAAGATAAAACTTTGTTAATTCAAGTGAGTGTGTGTATGTGTGTGTGTGCGTGTGCATATGTGTGTGTGTGTGTGTGTGTGTGTTGGTTTTCCCCTTGTAGCTACAAAGCTTTCCTCTTGAGCACTATGAAAAAAATGTTTGAAATAAAATGACCTGCTGAAAGTACAGAAAGCTGATTCCTTGACCTTGAAAGAGCGTTTATGAATTCTGAAAGGGTGAAGAAAAATATAATTAGCTATCTACCTACTCATCCACGTGGTTATTGAGGAAGTCCTGGTCCATCTGTTTTTATAACAACTACACAAGTTTCAACAGCATCAGCTGCATTTAGCAAGGCCCAGTAGCCTTCAGGAGCATGACCTTGAGGAAGGCTGAAATCAGCTGGGATAGTGTGACAGCAATTCTCTTTCTCACACTCTGAGATTGCAGCGTTTTTGAGGAAGGGAAGCTCAATTGAGCCTAACCATTTGCTTCCCCAGAAAGTATTAGTCATAAAGGCCGGTGATGCAAAAATGGCGCCTTCAACTCAGGCTTCTGGCTGCTGTTCCCAAGCATTTTCTGATTAGTCATGCTTATACCAAATCTGGTAGAAACTGGACCCCATACTGTCCTGTTTGGGGAAGCTATTGTGTTATCTCTGTCCCTATCTAAAATGCAGAAGTTGCTTTGAAGACACTATTATTGCACTTGTGTTCACACCGGCAAATTAGGAAATGTTGAAAAGCAATATCCCTGGCCTCCATCTTGTGTACCTAGGCAAAGCCCATAATTCCATTTTCATTGACCCAAATCATCACGTACCTCATCCCCTCAGGTAACCACAGTGGCAAGATAGCCTCCTGTCAAGTGATCCTTCCCTGCTTGGACTCATGGGACAAATTTAAGATAATGTTTGTATAAATCTACACTGGAAAGTCCACCATAAGAACATACGAAGTCCACATATGTGGACACAGAACAATTAGAGATCTGTAATATTTGCATTGAAAATGATTTCTTAGTGGAGGCCTGTCTGTGATTGAGGCCCAGCACTGATGACTCGCACTTATAATCCTAGCTACTCTCGAGATGAGATCTGAGATTTGTGGCTCCAACCCACAAAGGAAAGTCTGTGAGGCAGTTATTTCCAATTAAACACCAAGAATCTGCAAGTGTAGCTGGGGCTCAGGTTGTAGAATGCTAGCTTTTACAGCAA